TGTGAATCGCTGTGATTTATAGCATGTATTATAAAAGTAGTTAAGTTTAAAGTGTAGAGAAACGTACTAACTGTGAAATTACTGTGTACAAGAAGTCTGTATCGAGAAAGAATAAACTGGTTTAATCAAGAATGGACTTGTATCGCTGAAGTTCCTCGGAAATAATTTATACCGGAAATTATCAAACAAGCAGAAACGTAACACGATCTAATATAAGAGGACGACATCTTCCCAACGACCCTTTCAAAAATACGGTACAAAAAAAATCTGGCAACTTTTCGTACATCTTATGTTATAAGATGAATTCCCGTTTCATTCTCTAGCTTTGAGGTATGTGTGACGGATTCGTTACAGGCGCCTTTCCCAACTTTTCTAGACCGAGATCCCTTATGACTATAATTGCGTACTGTTGCCTTGATTACGTGGACGGTTTTTTCCACTAACCATTTTGTTACAAAATACCTCGTTGTGCTTACCACGGCTAGAGCACGACTTGTTGTACGGCTTTTTTTCTGAATGGTTCTAGTTCCACAAGTTCATTTATATTATTTTACTTTTCTAATGACATGAAGTAAAAGGGACATATTTGTCTTCGAAATTCTAAATTTCCGATCTCAGTACGTATTTAATGATCCGACATTGGAGCGTATTAAGATTTTGCGTCGGCACATTCCCTTCCCAAAAGCGATAAATTTTCGGTGGCATCACAGAACCTACGAACAACTTCAAAATTTTGTTCCGATACGCACCACAACCAGAAAGCTTCTTTGGGGAATTACTAGGATACCGAGCCTATGATCCCGAATACGGGCATTCTAACCACTGATGGCCAAATGTTTAGAGTGCCCGTATTCGGCGGTTCGAATCCTGGTAATTCCACAAAGCTTTCTGGTTGTGACGCATACAAAAAATGTCCGATATAACACCTGACGACGGCCGGAGAATTCACTGGTTGAACCGTTGTGAAAATAATAATAACACATAATAAAGACGAAAATAATAGTCTGAATAATTATACCATTAGTAATACTAACACCTCGTCTCAAAGTCGAACATTACACAAAACTGATAATGGTGGCTTCACATCGGCTGTAGTTTTTACGTTGTTTGCCCACTGGCATAATTTTAATTTTAGTGGCGACAATGATGTCAATATTAAAATAGGCATTTTTTTTTATTTAGCATGGTAGTCAAGTAGTGGCGACAATGATGTCAATATTAAAATACGTATTTTTTTTTATTTAGCATGGTAGTGAAGTAGTGGCGACAACGATGTCAATATTAAAATACGTATTTTTTGTTATTTAGTATCATAGTGAAGTAGTGTTTA